CTCTAAACAAAAAACTCTCAAACACTCCACAACTCTTTCTTGGTTGTGTTTCAACACTCTCTAGGTTGATTGATCACTCTCAAGGATGATTTGAATGAATGAAATAACAAGTCTATTTATAGGTATGAAATATCACACCATCATTGACAAAATGGTGTGAAATGTGAAGGTTTGGTGGAGGTATCATTTGAAGACTTCTTGAATGGTGGGCTTGAATGGAACTTTCACACATAGCTAGCCATTGATGACTTTGTGTATTGCATGGAACTTTCAGTTGATGGCTATGTCTATCAGTAATGGCACTTTTTTTCCTATGTTTCCAATAACATGTCGTGATAGGGTTAGAACTATTGACTCACCAAGATCTATGATTGAACCAGCGACAGAAGACGTGAACCACGAACCGACCAGTTAACATGCATCAGGTCGGAATTTTAAACCACGAACTGATCAGCTAACATGCGTCAGGGCTGACGTGGATATTCCGACGTTCAAGTCATAAACTGTCTTCTCAAAATATCATAACTAGAAGAATTAATTCAAAGTGTAAGCCTAGAAAGTCAACATGGATTTTTTATTTATAAAAGATTTACTAACTTTTTTTTCCTTAAGGTTCCATTAATCGTAAAGGAATCAAATCCTTCTGAGCTGAGGATGTAACGCCCCATTTTTATTTGACGAAAGTCAAGGACTTTTTAAAAAGTCAACTTAAAATTTTTCGACATCTTTTCATAAATCAAGGGCGTTACTCAAACTAAATCACATAAATAACATAAAGCATACTTGCATAAATAATAAATCCATCAATTTCATAAATCTCAAGTTCACCCAAATTATTGTTCGATAGGGAACATCTCACAATTCAAAGTTCCAAAAATTCCAAAGTTATATAAATCATAAATACCAAAGTTCACAAATCATAAATAAGCATAAATAGTCCAAGTCTACTAGCATGCGGAATAAAACTAAATGAAGTCAGTCAAAGACCAACACCACTCGTCTTTTGTCTCGTCAGCCAACACCTGCTTAACCTGCATCCATGAAGAGCAGGTGAGAGTGAGCACGATGAACTGTAGTGCTCACCACTATGCACATGAACAACAATAAAGTACGTGAAATTAAATGGCATGGTCGCAGTATGAACATAATCAATAAACAACCCATCTCCTAATCCAAAGTAATTCTCATGTGCACACCTATAACAGCAGTAGGCTCAACCGTCACAGCACGCACCTAGTGCTTGGAGAGGATATCTATCACTGGCCAGGGCACATTACCAAGGTCTTATAGATGACGTGGTCTTTAGCAAAGGACAAACGTGGAGATTACCCTTACGGGGTACGTTCAATAGCTACGGGGATAACTGTTCGATGGTCGGCACAACTAACATCAAAGGTTACATGTTCACATGCATACGTTGATCATACCCACATAAATAAACATTTTATCATTCACGGCATAGGTAATTTAAATAACACCCACCTGGAGTCGGATAATAAAGCAAATTAACCTGAAAATCGTAGGTGGTCGAGACACTACTCGTCAGACATCTACATAAGTCAAGACAGTCCCATAAGCAACTATCTTGACTCTTACACAGATAACAAGAATTATACTTAGTCGAATCACGTCGACTAAGAAACTCGTGGAAGTCGTGAAGTTGGAACATTAGGACGACTCCTAGACTCGACCAACCAATTAATAAATCATATAAAAGCAGACAATGAAGGTTTGACACAAAAACGGGGTCAACGGGTCAAGGATTTGCCAACAAGGCCAACTGGTGCCAAAAACGGGTCAATGGGCAACTACTGAAACCTTTTCTTTCAAAACTTTTTTAAAATATTCTTGCTTCTCTTTCTTTCTTTTCTTTCTCTTTAACTCGACCTAAGCTTCACATTTAGGTCCTTAGGGAACGAACTCCCAAATTCTCACTTTATTTCTCAACAATTTAAGTAAAGCAGGGCGCTAAAAAATATTTAGTCTTAAATTTAAAACATAGCCTCTAAAACACAACTCAATCAAGTTCACAGAGCATGATAAACAGAGTTGTAAAAACTTTGCAAAAAAGCACAACAAAAACAAAGTCACGATCTTACTTGTCGGGTCATTTGTGATACTGGACAGGTCCTGCATGTTGAGCTCTCTGTTGCTCATCTTCCGGAACCAATCTTTCACACTCTGGTCTATGCCCGCTGTGCGAAGGTTAGTCGTTATGATGTGTGGGACACCATGCGTGAGATTGCTGAAAGCATGGAGGGATCACCGTGGATGGTGAGAGGTGATTTCAACATCTTTCTTCATCCCGATGAGCGCATTAGTGGCCAGTCGAACCGTTCCGCGGAGATCTTAGATTTTTCTCAGGCAGTGGTGGATTGTGAGTTAATTGATGTTGGATACGAAGGTTCACCCTTTACGTGCGAGCGAGCTGGAGTCAAGGAGAGGCTCGACCGTGCTTTTGTCTCTAAAGCATGGACGAGGGTGTTTACGGTCACGACCGTCACGCACCTCTCTTCTTATCTGATCATGCTCCACTTTTTATCCGGTGTCGATTTTTTAGCACCCCCCGTAGCCTCTTTACGATTCCAGAACATGTGGATCCGCCACCACACGTTCTAGGTTATGGTCAGAGCTTTCTGGCAGCAGCTGACTGAGCTCTTCGGAATCTGTAACCTGAAGACTAAGCTCGAGAGACTGCGGTGCAGTCTGAAATAGTGAAATTGGACTATTTTTTGTGACCTTTCTCAGCGCCTTGTTGTAGCTCAGAGTGCGTATGCGGAGGCTGGGAGAGCTTATGACCTGGACTCCTCTCCAGAGAGTAGGGCCGCGATGCACCGCTACCACATTGGGTACCAGCTCCGTCTTCTTATGAAGGAGGATTTTCAAAAGCAGAAGGCTGCTGTGCGATAGGTTGCTGTTTGTCCCATTTTT